GTCATAAATCTCTGAATAACACCCTACATGTACATATTTTTTTTAAAGTAGACAACCCAGGGTATTCAATATGGGGTATGTCCAGACTTTTTTAGTAGCCTCTTAGTTGCAAACACTGGCCAAAGTTAGCGTTCATATTGTTTGTGTGTGAAAAAAGTAAAAAACTAAATTGAACGCTAATTTTGGCCAGTGTTTGTGAAGTGGTTACTAAAAAAGACTGGACATACCCCATTTGCAATACCTTGGGTTGTCTTCTTTTGCAAATGGTATCATGGGGGTAATTCTCATTCCTGGGCTACCATACACTCTCAAAGGCAACGTAACCAACCTGGCCATTTTCAATTTAAAAATATTTGACCCAGTAACTTTCAAAAACGCTATAAAACCTGTACATGGAGGGTACTGTTATACTCAGGAGACTTTGCTGAACACAAATATTAGTGTTTCAAAACTGGAAAACGTATCACAACAATTATATCATCAGTAAAAGTGCTGCTTGTGTGTGAAAAATGCAAAAAAAAGTCACTTTCACTGACAATATCATTGCTGTGATGTTTTACTGTTTTGAAACACTAATATTTGTGTTCAGCGAAGTCTCCTGAGTAAAACAGTACCCTCCATGTACAGGTTTTAGGGTGTCGTTGAACGTTACAGGGTAAAATACAGTGCTAGCAAATTAAATTCTCTGGACTTTCAGCCTGGGTTATATATTTGAAGTCTACGTGTATATTTATATAATTATTTATGTAATTTTGTATATGGACATATGTATATTTCGTATTATTTTTATAATTTTTATTTATTTATATATACATAGATATATATATATATACACAATTTCATTCTAAGTGTATTTTGATATAAATATATATATATATATTAATATCAAAATACAGTTAGAATAAAATTTCATATAGATATAATTTTTTTAAATTTGTAGTATTATTTCTACATTTTTAAAATTTAATTTAAATTACTTATTATTTGTATTTTATAATATATATACACAATATATAGTTTTCTATATATATATATATATATATATATATATATATATATATACACACATACATACACACACACACACGTGTGTAATTTAATTCTAAGTGTATTTTTATATTAATATATGTAAATATTAATATAAAAATACACTTAGCATGACATATATATGATATATAGACATTATATAGATATAATAAATGTCTATATATCATTTATATACACATATATAATTATTTTTTTATTAACATTCACTTTTATTTTTTATTTTTATTTTACATTAGCAGGGAGACTGCCTGTCAGCACAGGCAGTCTCCCTGCAGGCAGACACATGGACACCTATCGTGACCATGTGATCGCTCTGTTGAGCGATCACATGGCCACAGGGGTCCTAATCCGCCATGGGGAGACTGTCTGGGCTGCAGGCAGTCTCCCCACAACGGGAGCAACGCCGATCGCCGCCAGGGGAACGACGGCGATCGGGTAAGTACATTGGACCGTTAGGGCGGTTCAGGACCGTCACCGGTCGGCAACGCAAAAATGCCGATGACGGTCCTGAACCGTCCTCGGTCCTTAAGGGGTTAGAATTAAGAGAAACTTGATGTTGTGCATATCCTCTACCAATGTTATAAATATGCTCACTTATCCTAATATGCAACTTTCGGTTAGTGCGCCCAATGTATTTTAATCCGCAAGGACAAGTGAGCATATATACAACATTCTTAGTATGACAGGTTATGCACCATCGAATTGGTTAATAAATCTCTTTTTGGTTCCTGTGGTTTGACACGCTTTACATACACCACAGCCATAAAAACCTTCAAAACCTACAGAAACACAGATACACACCCACACATTAACTTGTATACAGAGACACACACAGATACACAGTAAAGTACAGATACAAAAAAAACACACACATACAAGTCACAATTCTAGTTACCCCCCAGTGTCTTACCATGCAGGTGCTGGAGTGTGGCTTCCATGACTGAGGCTGGTGGGGCTAAGGATCTTGCTCCTCCTCTCCCTCCCTCTCGCGCAGCTGATTCTATTTAAGCTTGGAGGAGGTGCCCGAATCAGTCACTTTCTCTCAGCAGTCCGTGCAGGTTAGAAGGTGCCCGGTCGCATTATTAAAGCGCCACAACTCACAACCGTCGGGTGGTCCTTATGTGCATGGGTCCCGATGGACCTTCACCTTTGCAGTTTACAGCCCGTGCGGCGGCCTGCACCACCGCCACTGCAGTTTTTTTTTCGCTTACACCCAGGGGCACTAAATTGTACCCCTGGGGGTATGCGTACCACGGATTGGGAACTTCTGCTCTAGACACCAGAACAACTACATGAAATTGTAGTGGTTCTGGTGTCTAAAGTGTCCCTTTAAGTATATCCATACTTATTATAAAGTATACAGGCACACTGTAAATAAGAATGAATATTTCTCTTGTTCATTGGATCTCAATTATTGCATAGCATTATTTATTAACTGTGATATTTCTAATTATAGACTGTGTGATAAAAAGATTGCGTTGACACAATTATTGGTCTATTAATGCTGCTAGTTAAAATCCTAGCTCTGTTACATATCAAAATTGTTTGGGTTCATCATAAAACAGGGAAGGTTTGGAACAAATATAAAATCAATAGGATGCTATGAGTCCTAACAGAAAGGAACAGGAATAAAATAACGCATGTTGTTTTTATGATATCTTAGATAGCAGCATTTAGGTCTCATAAGTATCTACTATGGTTAGCAATTCAGAAACCAAGATGAAAATCCAATTGAAGAGCCTGGCTTCTTACTGATCTAGAAGTATTAACAGATGTCATTTTGCTGCAGCTGTTACAGAAGCATTGTGTGATAAGTAAAATACAATAACATATGGTTTAAACTTAAAGGACAACTGTCAGACAAAAAATATATTTGATATAATAATTCTTTCATTATGTTTTGAAAGAAAAAATATATATATTTTAAATGAATATATGTACAACAAAATAGAAACAATTATCTCTAAGATCAAATGATTAAAGAGATGGGGGGGGGGGGGCGGAGCCTGACCAGCTTCCTGTCTAGATGCATGATCACAGAGCTCCTGCAGCTAAATAATAATAAAAAAAAAAATCAATTAATAATCGGATATACAAGCTCTTACCTACACAAGACTACCCTACCTGGACTCCAGGTGCCCTACCGACCCTCCTGATACCTCACTCGAAGAAATCAGAGCACGGAGTCCAGAGATACATGACCACGGCCTGCGGGCACTGGAACTGGGGAAGGACGGCTGCTTTCCCCGTCCTTTTGCTGGTGGCCCGGGAGACCTGACGCTCCCCCCCTCCCCCCAGACCGGTGGGGGTTATCCCGGTCCAACCCTAGGAGAAAGCCCGGCTACCCAGGAGACAAGCGACAAACCCACACAGCAAGCCTGCAGCACCAGAGCAGGGTGTAATGGGGGACGCCACGTGCAGAGCAAGCAATAGAGAAGAGGAACCTGATATACTGACACAGCTAGAATGCACCTTTGCAGCCTTCTGGATAAAACTAGCCGACAGGATGGAGCAAGCCCAGCCCCATGAAGCAGAGGTGAAACTATCCGATCCGAAGTTACATCACCCAGCTCCAGCCGTCGACGAGCAACCCCCAAGTTGAAGAGCGCTGGTAAAGGGCGTTGGAGAAAGCGACGCCTCCACCTTGTCCGCAACCTAACTCGAACACGCAGGGCAACGCACAGGAGCCCCCACAAGAGTAAGCCACAACAGCGGCAGGTACAAGCCAGAGAGCTCACCTCAACGGAAGTACCAGGGGATAACCCTCCAGCGACAGTCCCTACCTGCAGACTCACAACAAACCGGGACAGCTTGCAACGCTCAGCTAGGATACAACAGGACTCTGGACACCTCCGGTCAGGAATTGGTTAAACTGTTCTCACCGCACGGACTTAATGGCCATCCACCTTACCCACTGAAAATCAGGGGATATGGCATGCAATCTACGTGAAAAAGAACGCTATCCTGCCTCTCACCACCTTTTATTTCCTCATGTGATGCAAATGTACAGCATATACATTAGTTGCAAGTATACCTCTTGCATGACACTAAAAGTATGTTTAACGCAATGCACTGAATGTATATTATGTGGAACAGGGTACTGCACCACTAGCAATGTCCCACATCAAGATTGACGGTAGCACTATCACCATGTAACCTACACCTATTATACAACACACAACTCACTGCTGCACTTGCAGAAAAAAATGGATGCCCACAGTCTGGGTCTCACTCCCATGACACCTAGCCATGACGCAAAGCACGTAAATCACTAAGTCCTGTAGGTCACACCTCACACTTACACTGCTTGTGTTACGTATATTGCTAAAATTGCTAAGACCTACAATCAGACGAGGATACACACTTTGACTATCACTATATTAAAAATGTATCAGGACCGTAATGCCACATATATATACTACTGTTTGATCATTAATCTTGCAAATGCCGTTGTGGCAATGTAAGATATTTTGTTATTTCTTGCACAACAAAAAATAATGAATTAAAAAAAAAAAAAAAAGGATTAAAGAGATACTATAGTACAGGAATACAAAACTGTATTCCTGGCACTGTAGCTCCCTCTGCCCGGGTAAATAAAGGGTATAGAACCCTTTATTTACTCATCTTTTCCAAGCGCCAATGTCCCTCGGCGCAGGGTCCTGGCTCCGCCCCCTCTGATGGCCGCACTCGCATTAGACTTCCCCATAGGAAAGCATTTAATCAATGCTTTTCTATGGTGAAAAATCTGACGGTGAAGGTCCTCATGCTGAGCGTGAGGACGTCCAGCATCAGATACCGGACCAAAGGTCCGTTCCCATACAGGAAGCCCTCTAGTGGCTGTCTGGTTTTACATTGCAGCACCACGTGCAAAAGGGCACAGCACCCAGACTACTTCAATTAGCTGAAGTGGTTTGGGAGCCTATAGTGTCCCTTTAACTACAAAAATAATTTATTTATAATAAATAACGCATTAACTTCTATTGATTTACCAAGAGAAGACTGCTCCGGCCCCTGGATATTGTTTTGGGAGTTTTTATCTTGTTGTCTGTTTATGTTTGTAATGTTAAAAGTAAAAAAATTGACAGGTGTTAAATCATTATACTCCAGTGTAGGGAGACAAGATACTCTTGATGTTTTTGATAGTAAACTGCTGTAAGGACAGTCCTCTTTGAAAACTTTGTTTACATTATTAGTTACCTTAACAAGTCATCAACCCCTGTTACACCACCCGAAAAATCCAAATTAAAGGAACACTCCAAGCACCATAACTACTGCAGTGTACTTTGTAAAGAGTCAAATCATTTTAGAATGGTTTGACTTGCAACCTGTGGTACGCCAGGCGCTGCTCTTTGCCTCCATTACTTGGTATGGAAAGCCGTAAGCTCCTCAACAGCTTACATAGAGGGCTTCCAGCTATCCATAGGAAGTAGTGGAGGCTGGGAGCAGCTCCTGCAGCACACAAGCCAAGAAGTCAAACCCTTTTAAAACTATTTAACTACTTACAACGGAGGCAACAGAGCCCTCCTGCCACCTTACTCACAACAGTATACTCTTGTATTTATGGTACTTTGAGTATTCCTTTAAGAATGCTGAGGCCTTTAAAAAACAAAAAACAAAAAAATATATAACTTATTACTGTGTTATTGTGATGTTTTTTTCTAGAGAGAAAAGTATATGTGACTTGGTGGTTTTAATGGATCCACACTACTGTTATTAGAATAATTGGCAACATAATGCCTCTAATAAGACCAGCTGCTACTGATGTAGTGGTTGTGTCACATGTGCCCATATGACCCAGACACAAACTTTGAGCATCCACACAAGAATAAACTATTTTGAATAATTCACTTGTACAAGAGAATACATGATTTAAAAAAAAATTGTACGTGTGGACTTGATTATAATGAAAAGACAGACCTGACACTCATGGAACAAACACCAGGTTCAAAGGTCAGCTATCAACATGGCTTATCGAGATGGAATGACATTGGCCAAAGAGTTCTTAGAAATAGACATCCTTTGACCACACTAAAATTTGTCGTTATTGACACTGTTTCACACCTAAATAAGAGTGTTTCCTGCTGCAGAAAGACATTCTGGATAAAAATCCAGAGCACCCTTACCGCTTATGGTCTGACCGAGAACATTTGTTCTCATAATTCCTGGGAACCCAATGATATCTGTATAACATTGTGATTTTGGATTACAGTGTGCTTAGAATATCTCTGACTGGAGGTGTGGTTAAATCTGCTGTTAATTGTTTTTTTAAGTACTGTAAACAGTGGCGCAAATACCGCCAGCATAGCTGGTGCGGCTGCACTGGGCCTGCATGCTAGGGGGGCCCCCAACATGTGGCCCATGCACTTAGGGCCACCTGCTTGGTATTATTGATGAACAGGGGCCCGGTCAGGCAGGGCCGCCATCAGGGGGTGACAACCATAACGGTTGTCACTGGCCCGGCGGCCCGGGCCCCACGTGGATCGGCGAAACTGCCGCAGGTGCATCTGCACCGGGGCCCATCAGGTGGCCCAAGCATTTAGGGCCACCCGATGGGCCCTATATCTTTAGGGGCCCGGTCAGCGCTGCGGGCGTGTAATTGTGCGACCGGGCCACTTTAAAAAAAATTGCGGCTACACCGCAAGTGCTTGTGGGAGAAAGTGACGGCCGGTCTCTTCCTCCCAGCTTACTGCGCGCGGGGGAGAGGGAGAGGAGAAGACAGGACAGGAGATGACACCACACCAGAGGCATCCGCTCCTATCATCCCCAGCCACCGTCCTGCAACTTAAAGGTAAGAGGAGGGTGGCTGATAAATGAGGTGTGTGTGTCTGCAAGTATGTATGTCTGTGTGTGTGTGTGTGTCAGTATGTATATATGCCTGTTTGTCAGTATGTATATATATATATATATATATATATATATCTATCTATATATGTCTGTATGTATGTCAGTATGTATATATGCCTGTGTGTGTCAATATGTATGTCAGTATGCGTGTGTGTCTGTGTGTATGTGTTTGTATGTGTGTGCGTATGTCAGTATGTATATATGTATGCATGTTTCTCTGTATGTATATATCTGTGTCTGTATGTATGTATGTATATCAGTAAGAATGCCATTATGTATGTATGTCAGTGTGTCAGTTTGTATGTATGTCTGTTTGTCAGTATGTATGCATGTATGTATGTGTGTCAGTGTGTGAGTATGTATGTATGTCAGTGTGTGTGTGTGTGTGTATCTGTGTATGTGTCTATGTCTATATGTATGTCTGTTTCAGTATTTGTGTCTGTTAGTATGTATGTGTCTGTGTCCTTTTGTGTCCGTGTCCTTTTGTGTCTGTGTGTGTGTATTCCTGTGGGTGGGATTTGGAGGCGGGGCTTGGAGGCAGGCACCCGGGGGCCCAGACGTTGAGCTGTGTTAGGGGCCCCTCAATTTCTGATGGCGGCCCTGCGGTCAGGTGCCGTGCCTCTTTAGGACCGTGATCGGTTCCTTGTAGTATTGGCTGCAGGGGAGGAAGTGACAGCTGATCATTTTCTGCCCATTTGAATCCATGGAAAGGTGTGTCTCTTCCCCTCCCCCGTTTCCTGTCTATTGTTCTCCAGCAGGGCGTTGTCCCAGGCACACTGCCAAACCAGTTGGAACTGACTGCTTTTGTCCCTCCTTGGTCTCTCAACAGCCCTTGCTATGCTTTACCCCATGGCAAATTTACTCTGTTCATGGGATCTGAGTGCTGTTCACCTATATTGGGTGCTCAGATCCGAGCTATCTGGGGATAGGTTAAATGTGGGGGTTCTGTGTAATATAATAAGAATTATGTATTTTTATGTACTTTTACGTATATTTGCTGTTAGTGTAAAATGTAGATGTTTTCTGTAATTGAGTTTACTGCAGTGCCTTAAGCCAATTATCTCCAGGATGAAGAGGAGGGATTTCATTGTGTATGTGGGAGTGTTATTATGTTAATTAGTGTTCCCATTGGTTTGTGTCCCTTTTGTCACAGTTTATCACCAGGTCCAGGGGGCGTGCCTCTGGCCTGAAAACTTGTATATAAGGAGTAATAAATGCTCATTGGAGTGAGATCATCTTGTACCTTCATGAAGTTTCGACTCATGTTTGGGGGATTGGAGAACTACACTCTGGGGATTGCTATAATCACTATACTCCCCAGGGTATAATCACTAAGCTCTGCTAAAAGCTTGTTCCTGTTCCTGCTCTCTGGAATTCGGAGAGGTCGACCTACTGGAAGCTGGACCCTGGTCTTGGGTCCAGATTGGGTGGAGACGGCGAGACCCCAACCAAGCTGCGGTGGTTCAAGGGGTCTGCAGTGCTTATGGTGTCGGGCAGAGTGCTTGGAGTCCTCGGAAAGCACTAGGAGCATCCGTCAGCGGAAGCTACCCGGTTGGGGTGCCAGCGGTTCCGTTACAATGTGTATGTCTATTTATGTCAGATTGTGTGTATGTGAATATGAGTGTGTATCTGTGTGTCAGGGTGTGTTAATACCGGTGTGTATTTGTGTATCAGAGTGTACGCATGTGTGTATCCGAGCGTCAGGGTGTGTATATCAGTGTGTGTCTGTGTGACAAGTTGTGTGCATCTGCGTCAGGGTTTGTATATGTCAGTTAGTGTATCTATATGTCATCGTTTGTATCTATGAGTTAGGGTGTGTGTATGTTTCAGTGTGCATCTGTGCCAAGGTGTGTGTCTTTGTGTTCCTGTGCATCTGTGTCAGGGTGTTTGCACACATAAGTTTGTGTTGGTGTGTATGTGTCAGTGTGCATATGAATTTGTGTGTATGTGTCAGTGTATTTATATGTACAATATATAAAGAGTAATAAGGAACAAAGTATAATATAGGTGCTACTATCACCTAGTGTGAACCACTCCAACACACCAGATATCAATAAAGTGCAAAATATAAAATGGTGGTGAGAGCACTCAAAACATGCATGAATGATATATTACCAAAACTTGATTGAGTTGGAATATCTACAAAACATGAAACACAAAAACATAGTATAATATTGTTAAAATATATACAAGTAATATGAGGTAACTGGTTGAACTCACATATTACTGAGTCACTTGAAAGCTGACTCAGACTTAGGGCTTATAACGAGATGAGAAATCTCAATTTGTGGACGTCCTGTATCACACTTGGTAGATCCGCACTGGAAATGCTCTCCAAAATCACTCCAGGATGCAGAATCAAATCCAAACTGTTTTTATTATTAAAATACTACATAAAGTTAAAAATGATAATCAATACAGAAAAAATGTCCTTTAAAATGAACCACGACACGTTTCGGCACTCACAGCCTTTCTCAAGTGGTCTGTTCCTCATCTCAGATCTCTTCTTTTTATATTTTCAAATTCTGGCGCCCTTTCCCTGGCGTCCCGTATGATTTCCGCTTTCGTCATTATCCGGCGACTTCCGGTTACGTTCCGTGATGACGTTACTATTTACGTCATCATTCTTTGCCCAAAACGGCTACGTCATGACGTCTTCCCGGCGCCGAAACCGGAAGTATTTTCGGCGCCATTTTAGAAAGTCTCTTATCATAGAAATTGCCAGTCTCTTAACAAATACAAATTCTTAACACTCATATACACTTTAATATATTCATCTATAAAGTAAGGAGAACCCAATAGACATATATGATTAATAAAATTCATAAAATCATCATAAAAAAGGAGGTACTATTCACCTATTAAAGGGGAAGGAAAAATAGGTCATTAGAAAAAACTAAATAACAGAATAAAAGCATACCTTATATGTAAAACTTATAAAATACTGCTAAATAGCCAATAATTAAAAAATTAAAAAAATAACATATAAAACTATATGCATGAATTAATCTCAAAGTCAATATTAAGACCATAAGGGGACAATGATTCCATATTAAAAATCCACTTCATCTCATTTTTACTAAGGAGGCTTTCTATATCACCTCCTCTCCAATGGGTTTTTACAGCCTCTATACCTATGAACTCGAAACCACTAATATTTCCTCCATGTACTTCTAAAAAATGTTTAGAGACATTGTGTAGGGTAAATTTCCTATTTATATTATAAATGTGCTCCCTAATCCTTATCTTTAATGTCCTAGATGTCTTCCCAATATACTGTAGTCCACAGGGACAGACTATCATGTAAATTACATTCTTTGAGTTACATGTTATAAAAGATTTAATTTCGTGTATTTTCTTATTCGGAAAAGAGATAAAATTAGTAACCTTTTTATGTTTATTTTTCCTTAAAATACAGCCTCTACACGTTCCACAGTAATAAAAACCTTTTTCTTTCTTAAACATTGATGTGATTTGGGAGCTTCTTTCTTTGTCTAAAAAGCTTGAAGTCAAAACTTGCTTAATATTTTTAGCCCCCCTAAAAATCACTTTAGGTTGTACTCCCAAATATTTGTGTATTTCCTGATCTTGTTCCAAGATATGCCAATTTTTCTTCATTTCCTCCTTTTTGGGATAAAGTATATATTATCATTATTATGGCAATCTTCAACTTACGTAAAAGTTGGCAAAAAGACATGAATCAAAGATTTGGCCAATTAGAAGATGAAAAATATGAAAAAACTCCTAATAAGCAAAATGATGAATTAAGAGAAGTCTGTTCAAAGTTAGAACGATTACTTATAAAAGAAATGAAATATAAATGGGAAGTTTTTACATTAGAAAGGTACGTTGATTTAAAAATAGCACCCAGAGGTCTGAGATTCCATAAATCCCCCGCCTCAGATAACGAGAGTGAGAGGTTTAAAGAAGCTTGGGATGGAGCTCTGGAATCCTTTGCCAAACATATGATGATTGTTATTATAGAACAACGTACCTTAAGTTTGCATCAAATTAATGAGGAAATTAACGACATACAGAAAAAACTTGGACCATTTATGGAAATGGAAGAGTTTAAATCTCTAATGGAAAAAACCATAGAGAAAATTAAAAATATAGAAAGGAATGTAATTGAAACTAAAAAAAAGAAACTCAAGAGAGATCAGGAGGATTATGTAAAAGGTCAAATAAAACCACAAAAAAAGAATTACCCTATTAGAAACAGGAAAGATAATTATAGAAAAAACTTTCCGAAAGAAGAGAGCAGACCATCACAACAATTACATAAAAAACCTTATGAGGATAGATCTCCTTTAAATTTAAGACAACAAAGAGGAGAACAAGGTGGAGGTTGGACCCAAGTTAAAACTAAAATGAGGGAAAGGAAAAACTCTTCTAAAAATAATTATGAAAGAAGTTATAAACCATATTCACCAAAAAGAAATTATAGAAAAGAGATACAAGTTTCAAATAGATATAGCCATTTGCAACAGTTAAATGATGATGACCTTTTTTTAGGGCAAACTATGACAAGATCAAAAGGGGATACAAAAACACAGACTCCAGGAAAAAGGAGACGACAAGAAGAGGCAATAGAAAGCAGAAAGGAAGAAAAGAGGAGGAGGGAGGAGATATTCCCAAATAAATTACAACAGATATAACAATTTTTAACCTATCGGATATAGTTTTAGAAGAGTCTCATAAAAAGGTTTTAAATTATGGTTTTAAATTTGCACCTAGTTGTGACATAGATAAATTTGAAACCTTCTTAGATATTAATAGATTTTTACGAAAATTATGTTTAAAAAAGTTTTTTGATCAAAAACCCATTAAAGATCTGGGAAAAGACAAGATAGAAGAGGTAAATGAATTTAAACACACTACTCTGAAAAATAAATCCAATTTTTTTCCGAGTTATTTAAAGTCAGATGCTATGAAAATTTTTGAAAAAGTCTGTACTAGAGAATTAAGGAAAATTGAACCTATTAAAGGGCAACAGAATAATCTAACCAAGAGTGAAAGGAAAGCATTACAAGATTTGAAGAAAAATTCCTCTATTGTTATTAAACCGGCTGATAAGGGTGGGGGGGTCGTGATATGGAAAAAGGAACAATACCTTAAAGTGATTTTTGAACAATTACAAGATCAGGAAACATATCTTTTATTACAAAAGAATCCCCTAGAGGATATAAAGAAAAAATTGGGTGAATTTATTAACCAAGGATTAGAACTAGGGATATTAAACAAAAAAGAATATGATTTTCTCAATGTAAAATTTCCTAGAATTCCGGTTCTATATGTTTTACCGAAGATACATAAGAATGCAGAAAATCCCCCTGGAAGACCAATCGTTTCAGGGATTGGTTCCCTGTTATCACCCTTATCACAGTTTTTAGATCAATTTTTACAAGATCCTGTTAAAAGATGCCCCTCATATCTCAAAGATACTATGTCACTTTTACAAATTTTAAACAGTTTTATATGGGAGGAAGGTCTGATTATGGTTACTTGTGATGTCAGCAGCCTCTATACCATTATAGATCATGGAAGAGGTTGCGAGGCTGCTAGACATTTTTTAAATAATGATACAGATTTGAACCAAGAACAGATTGAGTTTATCATTGGAGGTATCCAATTGATCCTTTTTAATAACTTCTTTTGGTTTGAGAACAATTTTTATTTACAGACTAAGGGAACAGCTATGGGGACCAGATTTGCCCCGAGCTACGCTAATTTATTTATGGCCCATTGGGAGGAATCTGAGATTCTCTCAAGGCCTGAGCTCGGGACAAGTCTGGTCCTCTACAAGAGGTACATAGATGATATTTTTTTAATATGGAGAGGTACGCAAGAATCTCTAATTGGTTTCTTGAATAATTTGAATATAAATAATTGGAACATCAATCTGACTTGGGAAATCAGCACACAGACCATCAATTTTTTAGATTTGACTATTTATATAGAAGAAAATATGATTAAAAGCAAGACCTTTTTTAAAACTGTAGATGTAAATAGTTTTATTAATTTAAAAAGTTGTCATTTTAGACCTTGGTTGACCAACATACCCAAGGGACAGTTTTTAAGAATTAAACGTAACTGTACAGAGCCTGAACAATATGAAGAACAAACAAAAGGGCTGATTAATCAACTAATAGAAAAAGGATATAATCAAGATTCCCTAATTAATATCAAAAATGAAGTAGGACAGAAATCAAGAACCAATATTTTAAAATACAAGATAAAGGAACAAAAAGAAGAAGATAAGACTGTACCAATTATTTTTAATTTCAGTTCTCACAGTAATCAGTTGCAAAAAATCATGAAGAAAAATTGGCATATCTTGGAACAAGATCAGGAAATACACAAATATTTGGGAGTACAACCTAAAGTGATTTTTAGGGGGGCTAAAAATATTAAGCAAGTTTTGACTTCAAGCTTTTTAGACAAAGAAAGAAGCTCCCAAATCACATCAATGTTTAAGAAAGAAAAAGGTTTTTATTACTGTGGAACGTGTAGAGGCTGTATTTTAAGGAAAAATAAACATAAAAAGGTTACTAATTTTATCTCTTTTCCGAATAAGAAAATACACGAAATTAAATCTTTTATAACATGTAACTCAAAGAATGTAATTTACATGATAGTCTGTCCCTGTGGACTACAGTATATTGGGAAGACATCTAGGACATTAAAGATAAGGATTAGGGAGCACATTTATAATATAAATAGGAAATTTACCCTACACAATGTCTCTAAACATTTTTTAGAAGTACATGGAGGAAATATTAGTGGTTTCGAGTTCATAGGTATAGAGGCTGTAAAAACCCATTGGAGAGGAGGTGATATAGAAAGCCTCCTTAGTAAAAATGAGATGAAGTGGATTTTTAATATGGAATCATTGTCCCCTTATGGTCTTAATATTGACTTTGAGATTAATTCATGCATATAGTTTTATATGTTATTTTTTTAATTTTTTAATTATTGGCTATTTAGCAGTATTTTATAAGTTTTACATATAAGGTATGCTTTTATTCTGTTATTTAGTTTTTTCTAATGACCTATTTTTCCTTCCCCTTTAATAGGTGAATAGTACCTCCTTTTTTATGATGATTTTATGAATTTTATTAATCATATATGTCTATTGGGTTCTCCTTACTTTATAGATGAATATATTAAAGTGTATATGAGTGTTAAGAATTTGTATTTGTTAAGAGACTGGCAATTTCTATGATAAGAGACTTTCTAAAATGGCGCCGAAAATACTTCCGGTTTCGGCGCCGGGAAGACGTCATGACGTAGCCGTTTTGGGCAAAGAATGATGACGTAAATAGTAACGTCATCACGGAACGTAACCGGAAGTCGCCGGATAATGACGAAAGCGGAAATCATACGGGACGCCAGGGAAAGGGCGCCAGAATTTGAAAATATAAAAAGAAGAGATCTGAGATGAGGAACAGACCACTTGAGAAAGGCTGTGAGTGCCGAAACGCGTCGTGGTTCATTTTAAAGGACATTTTTTCTGTATTGATTATCATTTTTAACTTTATGTAGTATTTTAATAATAAAAACAGTTTGTATTTATATGTGTGGATCTGTGTGTTAATGTGCACAGTGAGGGCAAAAAGTATTTAATCTCCTGCTGATTTTGAACTTTTGCCCACTGACAAAGAAATGATCAGTCTATAATTGTAATGGTAGTAGTATTTTAACAGTGAGAGACAGAATAACAAAAACTAAATGTAGAAAAATGCATGTCAAAAAAGGTATAAATTGATTGGCATGTCAATGAGTGAAATAAGTATTTGGTCCCCTATCAATCAGCAAGATTTCTGGCTCCGAGGTGTCTTTTATACAGGGATTCGAGTTGAGATTAGGAGTACTCTTTTAAAGGGAGTGCTCCTATTCTCAGCTCGTTACCTGTATAAAAAGACACCTGTCCACAGCAGCAATCAATCATGGCCAAGACCAAAGAGCTGTCCAAGGATGTCAGGGACAAGATTGTAGACCTACACAAGGCTAGAATGGGCTACAAGACCATCGCCAAGCAGCTTGGTGAGAATGTGACAATAGTTGGTGCGATTATTCGCAAATGGAAGAAACACAAAATAACTGTCAGTCTCCCTCGTTCTAGTGCTCCATGCAAGATCTCACCTTGTGGAGTTTCAATGATCATGAGAACAGTGAGGAATCATCCCAGAACTACAAGGGAGTATCTTGTTAATGATCTTAAGGCAGCTGGGACCAAAGCCACCAAGAAAACAATTGCTAACACACTATGCCGTGAAGAACTGAAATCCTGCAGCGCCCGCAAGGTCCAACTGCTCAAGGAAGGAAATGTACAGGCCCGTCGGAAGTTTGCCTATGAACATCTGAATGATTTAGAGGAGAACTGGGTGAAAGTGTTGTGGTCAGATGAGACCAAAATCAAGCTCTTTGGCATCAACTCAACTCACCGTGTTTGGAGGAATGCTGCCTATGACCCCAAGAACACCATCCCCACCGTCAAACATGGAGGTGGAAACATTATGCTTTGGGGGTGGTTTTCTGCTAAGCAGACAGGACAACTGCACCGCATCAAAGGGACGATGGATGGTGCCATCTACCGTCAAATCTTGGGGGAGAACCTCCTTCCCTCAGCCAGGGCATTGAAATGGGTCGTGGATGGGTATTGCAGCATGACAATGACCCAAAACACACAGCCAAGGCAACAGAGGAGTGGCTCAAGAAGAAGCACATTATGGTCCTGGAGTGGCCTAACCAGTCTCCACACCTTAATCCCATAGAAAATCTGTGAAGTGAGTTGAAGGTACGAGTTGCCAAACGTCATCCTCGAAACCTTAATGACTTGGAGAGGATCTACAAGGAGGACAAAATCCCTCCATGTATGCAAACCCAACTACAAGAAACACCTGACCTCTGTGATTGCCAAGGTTTTTGCCACCAAGTACGAAGGGGTCAAATACTTATTTCACTCATTGACATGCAAAAAGATTGATAACTTTTTTGAAATGTGTTTATTTTTTGTTATTCTGTCTCTCACTGTTAAAATACACCTACACCTAAAATTTATGGACTGATCATTTCTTTGTCAGTGGGCAAATGCTCAAAAACAGCAAGGGATCAAATACTTTTTTCCCCTCACTGTATGTGTATCTGTGAAAGTATGTACGTATGTATGTATGTATGTATGTATGTATGTATGTATGTGGCAGTGTATGTTTGTATATGCATACATCAAAGCAATCAAACACACAAACACAATCCGGCATTCAAACCCAAAAATAAATATTATATATATACACACACACCCCTTCACTCAAACACCAATACTACACACAAATGTACATCCACATTTCAAAGCCAACATTACAAGCAAACGAAACATTACATTACATACAAACACACCTCTGTATTAAAAACACAAAGTAGAATAAAAGCTTTAGTCGAGCCTTAATTAGAAAGTGAGCAGTCTAGTGGTAGTAGGTGAAAATGGGGGGTAACCCCTAATATTTTAAATCTTCATCAGCAAAAAGAATTAGAAATAAAACAAAAAATAAAAAAATTGTAATAACAAAACAACTACTGGTAGTTTTTTGTTATTACAATTTTTTATTTTTTGTTTTATTTCTAATTCTTTTTGCTGTTGAAGATTTAAAACACAAAGTATATACAAACACCTCTTCATTCAAGCACCAACACTACAATCAAAAGCACACCTGCATTGAAAAGCCAGCACTAAACACAAGTACACCACTGCATTCCAGCAACAAAAGTACATGCAAATATACATCTACATGCACACATATACTCTATACAAAAACATGCTTACATTTAAAAGCACAAACACTGCTCACAGATACAAACCTGCAAGGATGAGCAAATGGTAGATTCCCAGCTACCATAGCATCATTGGAATTGGATAGGGATCTACATTTTGACTGTTTATTCTATATATTCACTGTCGCTCGAGCAACTCGTGTCTACTCCAGCATCAGCATTGTCCGCATGAGCCTGAACAGTTCTGCTTTCCCGGCCGTTCCTGGGAAAGCAACGTTGCGTCTCAGCCGTAATACGAGGAATGGTCTATGACCTGATAGAAGTCACCTTTTCGTGTAGGTGTAGTGGACCAGACTGGAATACTGGGGATTGACATGTCATCACCTTCTTACAGGGATCTGAGTCATACTGCAATATATTAATAATTAGCTTGGATCAGAATCGTTTTACTCAGGGCCAGATTAAGAGCCCAGTGTGCCTGGTGCTGACAATTATGACGGGCCTAATTACAGAATCATATCGACCAAAAACAGTAAAACACTCCCAAGCATCATATATCTGATGGAGATGGTGCTGGAGAGAAAGAAAACAGCAGCTATAAGAAAACACATACCCTAGGCTAATGTCTCTCTAATTTATGTTTTCAGCTTTCAAGTAAATCCATAAGCCCTAACAGCAACGTCCAATCAAGCAGGAAGTCAATGGGCACGGTAAAAGGGTTTGCCACTGACACAAATCACGTAACCTGCCAAAACGGGTAAACATGCCCAAAAAGAAGACATGTCTGCTCAAAGAATTAGAAGGCCAGCCTGACATGAATGCATGTCAGGCTGCCTGCCAATCATGCAGCTGGCCAACTAAGGGCATACTATGCAGACAGCACCCTGAGCTTGGCATAAATGCATCTAATGATGCGCTCACTCAATGCTTTCTAAGGACTGTCCCCTAGCACTCGCTGGTCCACTTGTCTCCTTACCTTCTTACTAGCAGGCAGAAGCTCCTGGTATATGGTCTGGGACAGAGAAAAGCTGTATGTAGTGAGTGTAGAAGAAAGTGAACATGCAACAGTGTTAGAGAGACCAATGTCAGCATTACCTTAAAGGATCACTATAGGGTCAAGAACACAAACATGAATTCATGACCCTATAGTGTTAACACCAACATCTAGGACCCCTCATGCCTCCATAAATATAGCAAAATCTATATTCAAGCCTGAAGCTGTAACTCTGCATGCTGTTAGACTCATAAAAACAAGCAGTCTGCTGACGTCATTAGAAGTGGTGGCCTGATCCAATCACAGTGCTTCCCCATATTTCTATGAGGAAAGTTCAGTGTCTATATGCAGAGGGAGGAGACACTGAATGTTTGGATGCCTTTTAGGCAGCCATGACCCAGGAAGGATCTCTAACAGTCATCTAAGGAGTGGCCAGTGAAGTTATCACTAGGATGTAATGTAAAGACTGAATTTTCTCTGAAAAGACAGTGTTTACAGCAAAAAGCCTGACGGTAATGATTCTACTCACCAGAACAAATTCAATAAGCTGTAGTTGTTCTGGTGACTATAGTGTCCCTTTAACAATATTCATTGTCAGCCAGTCCACACACGTTTTGTTCCCATACATCCCACTTAAGTTTCCATACTTAAGTAAGAGTATGTGAAAAGTAGTTAGGGTTGCCACCTTTCTTGGAAAAACATACCGGCCTTACTAATTTGCATAATTAAATATGTATGGGTGACATCACATGATGTAAATCACAAGGAGTGACATAAGAGAAAATGCTGTAAAATCACCAAAAACTACTTAGTTTGATTCTGCTGTATAGATGGATTCCTCCCAGTGCCCCATGTCTCCCAGTGCCCTCATGACTCAGTGCCCCCATGTGTCGATTACTCCAGGTCTCAGTGTTCCTATGTATTAGTGTCTCAGTGCCCCATGTCTCCCAGTGTCCCCTAGTGTCGTGTCCCCAGGTCTCCCAGTGATCCTATGTATCACAGTATCTCAATGCCCCATGTCTCCCTGTGTTCCCATGTATCCCGGGGTCCCCATGTCACTAGGACTCTAGGAAGACGGGGAGACCTGGGGACACAGGGAGACCTAGAGACACGGGGAGACCTAGGGACATGGAGACACCAGTGACACTGGGAGACTAGGGGACTCTGGCTGGGACACATGGGGACAATAGGAAAATAGGGGACACTTGAAGACATGGAGATACAGACACTAGAGACACTGGCTGGGGGACATGGGGACATTGAGACATGGGGCACTGGGAGACATGGGGACACAGAGACACCAGGGCCACAGACACTAGGGACACTAGCTTGGAGACATGGGGACATTGTGACACTTGAGGCAATGAGAGACATGGAGGCACTAGAAGACATGGGGACAGTGAGACACTGGCAGACTGGGGGCACTGGGAGACTAGGGGGCACTGAGAGACTAGGGGGCACTGGGAGACCAGGGACACTGTCTGGGAGACATGGGGACACTGTGTCCCCATGTGTCTGTGTCATAGTATCTCCCAATGTCCCTTAGTGTCTCAGTGTCTGCCATAATGTCTCCCGGTGTCCCAGTGTCTGTCATAATGTCTCCCAGTGTCCCTTAGTGCCTCAGTATCTGCCATAATGTCTCCCAGTGCCCCTTAGTGTCTCAGTGTCTGCCATAATGTCTCCCAGTGTCCCTTAGTGTCTGCCATAATGTCTCCCAATGTCCCTTAGTGACTCAGTGTCTGCCATAATGTCTCCCAATGTCCCTTAGTGTCTCAGTATATGTATCCTTGCAGCCTGTCCCCCCATCCCTTACTTCCCTGAGCTGTAGGCTGTCTCTGCAGGGTGGGAGTTGCTGTCTGGACTCTCTGTAGCTGCACCCCTGCAGATCAGTGAGTATATATAGGCAGGGAGGGATATGCTGGAACTTCCTATCCCTGCCTCTCTCCACACACAGCGACCCCTACTGGCCAGTGCTGGTATCACGGAGTAATCTCTTGTTTATACTGATAAAAATACCAGCATTTGTATTGCCAGTATCACTGCAATACCAGCACCGCCCCAAATACTGGCTGTGGCAATAAAATAAAAGCCAGGTGGAATCCCTAAGAGTAGTGTGTGAAAAAAAAAATCAAATCAATGGGCCTATTCCATGGGCCTGGGCCTGGAGCTGCAGCTCCATCAGCCCCTATGTTAATCCGGCCCTGGTTTTACTGGCTGACTAGCTAGTCTCAAGTGGTGAAGCAATTCACTAGGTTGGTGACAGGTGAGGTCCTGCTAGTTGCCAAGTGGATTGAGAGCTCTATCTATGCTTTGGCGCAAGGGGATTCGTGGCCAACAAACATTGTTGCAGGGTGTTGGCCTCTCTGTGACATTTAAGTCATGAGACAGATTGGGTGTGACAAGTGATGCCCTCTCTATGCCACGGTGGCCTGGGGCATGGGTGTTGGCCTCGCAGGACCACTAACTCCAAGGCAGAGATGCCAGAAACTTAACATCTATTGGTCACCTATATCCCTCTAAGCCAGTAAAACCTACTCATTAAAAAGGTGTATATTGCAGGGGAGCCATAGTGGCAAAAAACCTATCTGAATTCGTATAAAAGTTTGTGTAGTTCTCTATGGTATGGTTGTAACCTGTAACTGAAATCTGCAGTATCCCCTAAAGGAGGCAGAGAGGGGAAGGAGTGGTCTATAACCTACGGAAAGAACCGTAACTGACAAATGGGTGTGAGGTCTAAAGAGCAAATGATGCTCCGAATTGATAACCTATAAAAGAATATGATTTGATAAGACATAAGGAAATGGATGTTAGCAAGACCACGTCAGTACCATCGTAGCACCCGATGTACAGGCCCCATGACGTTCCAGAAAGGCACAGAACCAAATATCCTCAGACGGAAACTGTAGTGTTAACCATGCAATCATATTTAGGGAAATCTTAAAATATAATTAGACATGACACATAAATATGTTTGTACGCAAAACCGTAGACTATGTAGAAATGCATATGTAAATATAGACAGTGTGGCCCAAGGCATATCGTCTATCGTAACCCAACTAATAAGCCACATCGATGATAATACCTGTTTGTGGTGTTATGATAATCAGATTGAGGAAATATTA